AAAAGTAAAATCGTTTTATTTATTAATTCATTCAAATTTTATAAATATCTTCCAGAAAAAAGTCTCTTCAAGAAAAAAGGAAGATAAAGAAAATATATATTTATATATATTGTTAAATTTATTTAAAAAATCTATTTTAATCTGTTTGCTTTTGCTTCATTTCCTTCTTTTTATCATTAAAGCGATATGACTTTATGCTGGGTTTTTAACATCAATACGTTTTTTTCTTCTCTAAATGACGTTTTTACCATTTATTTTTATATAATTAAGTTGTATTAATAGAAAAATAAATTTGAGAGAAATTTTTTTTATTCAAACGGAGAAAGAAGACCATTTTATTATTTAACAACTATAATTTAGTTGGAAATATAAAAATGAGTTCGATGTACGCAACATGGCACGATATTATGTTTATATTAACTCTAATTATTCTTTTTACTAGTCTTCTTATTTGTTTATGTTATCAACGTCCATTATTCAATTTTTTATTTGATTTATGGTCACAAATTGAACTAGATAGTAATCATATTAATCAAACTTTTACTATTTTAAATTAAACTTTTTTATAAAATAATAATTCATTTCTTTATTAAACTGTATCACCAGATATATATCATTATCATTAATAAATATATTTTACTGAAATCAATCAAAAGAAAAAAAAACAAGTCTATTACATAAAAAGAAAATGAATGAGAGAATAAATAAATCTGTTATGATGTTGTTTTAGCTAATTGTCCTCTATCAACATTTTGATCAATTTGTATAGTTGATTGAGGTTTTATATCAAATGAAAAAATCTCAGTTGGTAAAGAAAGTGTGCAACAAGCATTAGGAATATCAACAATAGATCCAATACGTCCTTCAATAGGTGCAGCTGATAATAATAAATAAACTTGTTCTTCACTATAACCAAAACGTTTTAAATATCGAATAGCTGAAAGACATGCTTGGCGATAAGCTAATGTTGCATCAAGAAAATATTGTTTATCTTTATCGTCAACTGATATTCCTTGAAATGTTAAATAATTCGAATAACGAGGTTCAATAGGACCAGGTTGAATTAATGGATTATTTATTGATAAACGAGACATACCATCTTTAATTATATCAACATGCAAATCAACATAACCACTCTACAATTATATATATTAAAAATATATTTAATATAAAAACAAGAAAAATAAATAATATACCATTTCAATAGCACCACAAAATGATATTTCTCCATCACCTTGTGAAAAATGAATGTCACCTAAACTTAATTTAGCTCCATTGACATAAACAGGTAAATAAACACGTGAACCTCGTGAAATATTTTTTATATCAGTATTACCACCATGTTCACGAGCTGGAATTGTTCGTGCTCCATGATTAGCAATTTCTTTCCATTTATTTTTATTATCTTCAAATTTTAATTGACCCAAACAAGCACCTTTTTCAATAGGTGGATTTGCTAAAACAGAATATTGATGATGTGAATGTTTACAACGATTAATTAAATCTTTTTCACGATTATTCCATCGAGTTAAAAGTTCATGTGATGGAGCACAACCAATAATACCTTTTTTTAATCAATTAAAATATTAACCAAAAAAAAAAAATTAAAAAAATTTCATTACCTGGATGAGTAAGTCCAGCAAAACGAACATCTTTTATATGCCGACTTGTTGCATAAATTCCAGCAAAATCCCAAATAGCTTTATATGCATTCGGATAAATATCACTTAAAAATCCTCCTCCATTATTTTTATCGAAAACGCCTGTAAAACCCCACATAGATGATGATAGAGGACCTACATCAAGAATATCAACAACAAGAATGTCACCAGGAGAAGCACCTTCAACTTCAATTGGACCTGATAAATAATGAATACGTGTTAAATCAACATTTTTAACATCATCAGCTGAATCATTATTTTGAATTTGTCCTCCAGTCCAATCAACACATTCAATACGAAAAACATCATTTCGACGAACCGACACAACACTTGGAATATCTGGATGCCAACGATTATGAAGAGGAATTAATTGATCTGTTGCTGATCGATTAAGATCAACACTAATTAAAGGTTTAGCAGCATAAGATACAGCGGTAGACAGTGCTCGGCGTAAAGCTAACATCACTTAAAATAGTTTTTTCATCCGATAAAGAAACGAATAAATGGTCTACTTTTCTCTTTCTTTCTTTCATTTATTCGTTGATAATAATAGTTTATTTATCACCTTATCTTACGAAAGAACGCAATAGAACACATTCACTACCCTTTAATCAATATAGGTGATTTAAATAGAAAAAGCTTATTTTATATTTGATTAAAATCGACTTGCAGTATGCATTTTACTATGTTACTCTCAATTATTGAAGACACTCACCTTGAAAAAAATATGTTTATTTGTTTAGTTTTTTTCTAACGAAGTACACCGTCGTTATTGAAATTTTTACAAATGAATCAAACTGTCGTCTTTTCATATTAGATCTTTTTCATTATGAAAACCGTGAAAAGAGAGTTAAAGAATCAACTTTGTTGTCTTTTACATTGTGCAATAGAAAATTTTTCATTTAACTTATCAAAATCAATATAAAAATTTACGCATACAAAATTATATTCTAAACACTTTATTTTTATTTATTAAATAAATGCTTTACATTAATATTATAGAAAACATAATTATATTGCATTTTAATATCTTCAAAGAGAATCTGTCACACTTTTCGAACTTGTCTTATGCAGCATTCTATAATACTCAATTATAGAATTATCAAAAATTAAATCATATTGTTTAATAGCGATTGATCATCGTTGACAAAAAAATCCTAGCTATCAATAAGTTGCTCGATCACAGTTGTTCATAACAATCATCTAACATCAATTGAATAAATATGTTAATTAAGTATGAGTATCATAAAGAATAGAAATATCTCGACATCGAAAAAATATTTCTTCATCAACTCATATACACATAATTTAAACTTCAATTAAAGACTATAAATTGATTTATTCTATTTTTACTCACAATGGAGGCGTTTGTACTGTTCTTTAAAAAGATACAACATATTCCGGTCACATGAAAGCTCTCACCAACAAACTAACAATGTTAAAATATTAGCGGCCCTTAGTTTGCCTAGAGGGAGTTATTCGAATTTTATGGTACTCACAATTTGGGTATATAGAAACATTAGGATTATTTACATTAATTTGTTACTCAATCAACTGAGGATTTTAATAGTAGACTACAAGAATCTTTCTGAAATTTATCAATAACATTAAGATCACATTAGTTTCGATGTCTTCTGGAACTTGAGCAGTATCGAAACGAAAAATAAGATATATGATGTTTTTGAAAAATGACTTGCATGTATAATTTAAAATTACAGTGTATTAGTGCATGCATCACTTGGAGGTCTATTGATCATTTTCTTTGCAATTGGTGCCAAGAAATCACAAAGAAATATACCATCTAATAATTATTCTTTTTTGTTCTCTGCTATATCTAACGTGTAAAAAGGCTTATTTCATCAGATTAAAACTTGAATTTATTAAATATCGCTAAACATCTTCTCTATTTGCCTCAAACTGAATATGGATCTGAAAATTCTGCAACAATTACTGTTTAAATTTTTGCTGCCGAACGTTTATTTGAAGTTCTGAAATTATTTAAAGATAGCTACTTCAGTGAGTTGTATACTTATGACACTCTCGAATTTGACAATGAATATGATGAAATGACTGATACAGAAGAGAGCGATGATGACATCGATGATTACAATGAGAATGAACATTTTGATATACAAAAACAGATGACATTAGAATAAATGAAAAATATAATCTAATAGGTTGGCCAACATCCAAGTGCCAGATTTTCAACTATTTCCCATCGATTTAAAAAGGTGAAATCCATGAAATATACTACAAGGTTTAGGGAATACATTGAAAATAGCAGCACAAGATTAGAAAAATTAAAACAAATTAAAAGATTTATATTTAACGAATTCTATCTGAAACGAACAATTGAAAAAGAAGCTATTCATCATGATGACCGTGAACTTTATGCAATTCAAAAAGCAAGAGAATTAAATTGGAATACATTCAAGGCAAGTAAATCGTTTATCAATACTTTTAAAGAGAAAATAGAATATTATCAAGAAGATATAATAAAATTATTACTCGAACTAAATCAAATAGAAACGTCTGCAATTTAAATGGTAATTAAATTTTTATTTGAACTTTAAGTTCCTATGTCTTAATATAACATA